GTGATGGCACAGGTGCATGTCTGCTCACACAATAGGTGACGAGAGAGTTTATTTACAATTTATAGCCGATACCAGGGAGGAAGAACCAAATAGTACAATAAAAATGATCTAATCTACTGTAATTCATAGATGTAATGATTAAACATAAGTTTAATGCCCAATGATTGCATGGAAGTTTTTGGTATTCAGCAACCAATTTCAAGTAGTTGTGCAAGATTGCAAGGCAGCTGAACAGGCCCTCTGATGGAATCTGTCTCCAAAACATTGCAGTCTGTATCAGATTGACTGCAATCACTCTCAAAGCGATTGGTGAAGGTTTGCAAACAACCACCATCTATTATAAATGCAAACAAGCAACCAAGCTGGTTGCCAGCTGGTTGTAACCTAGTTATATTCCAGCAAACACCTATTTAGCCATTAAGCTTTTAAATTATCATCCTCCAGCTACTACATCACTATTTGCTGAGTAATTTCTGAATTTCTGTTTCAAATCTATGAGGTTCAGGTTCAACAAAAGATTTATAACAGACAGCAACAGATTTGCAATTTTCACTAATTTATCACAGTTAATTGCTCCATTATCACAAATTTATTTCCCAGCTTGACCCCAATTGCAAAGTAACAGCAGACTGATAGTAGACTGACTTCATCTTGATGCCATTTAATTGTTGTTTTGACGTAGCAAAAATGAAGACGGCTCCTGAATGTGAGCAGTCACAGGATCTTTCAAGCAATGATTTCTAATAATAATAATAATAGATTGGATTTATATAGTGCTTATCAAGGCACCCAAAGCGCTTTACAATGCCACTATTCATTCACTCTCGCATTGGATCGTGCCATCAGCCCCTCTGGCCAACACCAGTAGGCGGTAGGATAAAGTGTCTTGCCCAAGGACACAACAACCAGGACAGAAAGCCCGGGGATTGAACCGGCAACCTTTCGGTTACAGATATGCTTCCCAACCCCCTGAGCCACGGTCCCCCAAAGGCAACAAGACTGCAATTTATTGCACCATTGCAATTGTTTTGATTATGCGTTGGTCTCAAACCACTGGTTTGCATAGTGTGACTACAGTATAAGCCTGGCTAGGAAGAACTTATGATTTCTTGTTGTAATATGAAGCCACATAGGCTCGGATCGTATAGCTTCATATTACGTCACATCTAGGCTGGATCTTTACTCACACTGGACTGCTGTGAGGTAGCTCTATGATTATGGCATAATCACAGAGCTACTTTCAGCATTACAGAGGAATAATATGGATAGATGACTCAGTAACCTTGCTTTTCTCCCATAAAGGATGATGACATAAATAATCAACAGGCCTAATAAGTAAGGATTAGGGTGAAGTTTGCTCTTCAACCTTTGACTTAGCAGCAACTTTCTCTATCAGCAAATTGTCTTCAAGGGACTATGGGATCCCTGAACCACAACACAGCCTTTTCCCTTTTCTCTGCAATGGAGAATGATTGAGCAGGCTCAAGTGTGGATTAGTCCAGTCCTTGAGTGAGCATTTATTGTGCATCAACATTCAGACCAGCAGCAGCACCCCCAGCCAAAACAGCATTTTTCCAGCACATTACACAGGAATCCCTTATATACCATCCCTGAGTACTAATTTGTGGCAACAACTGGTCAGGGAGCCCAACGTACACAGAGCAAGGCAATCTAGCCAAAATATAATTCTCTGCTCACAGACAAATAAGCAATTACTGCACCAAACACCAAGATGATTGCTATTTCCAGGAAAACACTTCTCTCTTTGAAAAT